CTTGGAAAAGCTGAATGAAGTGCCAGATCCTATGTGGTCAAAAACTTTTCCGATGGACACTTGTTTTTTCAAGGACAGGATGGCGCTAATGCTTATATAGGACCTTGAAAGCATTCACCCCTTTTTTGTTATTTTTCTCCCCTCTTGTTTCTTGCAGCTGCAGAAGCAGACTTCTAGGAGCTACTGTATGTTTTTCGTATTTCTTGTTTTTTTATCTCTCATTTTCCCTCTCTTCTAGTCACCCCTTAATTCTTATCCCCTCTACCTTTCTGTCTCTATTTCTAATAAAGCTTCATATATAATTACCAAATGGAACCATATGGTAACATCTATAATGGCCTACTTATCAAAGCAAATCTGTTGGGCTATCATCTAGCTCAGAGACATCGATTCCCAGAGCTATATTGGCAAAACAGGACACAGAAATATTAAAATAAATCAATTATTCAGCCCTTATATGTTACCCTAATAAAAATGTACATTTTACTTTACCAGACAGAGTCAAATGCTGGCTGAATTAGGATGCTCGTAAATGTTTATAGTAGCTTCCTATAGTAGAGACATCTACGGTGAGAAATGATAGATCGGATGGTTCTGTTTCTTTCAATTGTTTGACACTCATGCAGTTATCGGTCAACTGTCTGCCATGATAACGTCATTTAGGCAATAAAATTATATTGTTACACTGATATAAGTTTAAAAAAAAGTCACTCTTTCACATAAAAGATGTTAGATTAGGCTTTGTACTCCCCATGTCCTGCTATGATGCACAACACCTGTTTAAAGTAGAGACGTGTACAAATAATATATAAATAAAAACATATTTTAACTTTTATTATTGTTTTTCCTCAAAGTATTTGTGTAAACATCAGGGAAGTGCAGACTTGAGCTGAGAACCACTGAGAGCTCCCTGATAATCATTGTAAAGACTCCTGCTGTTTGTTCCCACAGAGACATGACGGTGGCAGCAGTAGAGGAGTTCAGCTTGTTTATAAAGAAAACAACACGGGAGACACTGTGGCACCTGAACGAGACACAAAAAACACCAACTACACCAGCAGATGTGCAGGGAGACCAAACTGCTGGGTTTTAGATGTCCTTTTTCTGCACTGCATAGATAAAGATTAGATTGCCACCACCTGCTGGCTGATTTCAGGGTAAAATCACACTAATGCAAACTCAAAAGTATGAATCCAGACAGTAGGCAAGGCAAGGCAAGGCAAGGCAAGTTTATTTGTATAACACAATTCAGTACAAAGACAATGAAAATGATTAAAATACAGGAAAATAAAACAGAATCAAAGCAAGCAGGAAAAAATAAAAAAATAAAATAAAAAATGCAGAAACAAAAAAGAATATTAAAAACAGTTGGACTAAAGAAAATATGTTTTAGTTGAACTGTTTAACTAGAACAGTCAAAGGCAATCCTAAACAAATGTGTTTTTAGTCTTGATTTAAAGGAACTCAGGCTTTCTGCACTTTTACAGTTTTCTGGAAGTTTGTTCCAGATAAGTGGAGCATAGGAACTAAATGCTGCTTCTCCATGTTTAGTTCTGGTTCTAGGTATGCAGAGCAGGCTGGAGCCAGAAGACCTGAGTGGTCTGGAGGGTTGATACACTGATAGCAAGTCTGTGATGTATTTAGGTGCTAAGCCATTCAGAGATTTATAGACTAACAGAAGTATTTTAAAGTCTATTCTCTGAGATACAGGGAGCCAGTGTAAGGACTTTAGAACTGGGGTAATGTGCTCTACTTTCTTAGTCTTAGTGAGGACATGGGCAGCAGCGTTCTGGATCAGCTGCAGCTGTCTGATCCACTTATTAGGCAGACCTGTGAAAACACCATTGCAGTAATCAATTCGACTAAAAATAAACGCATGGATTAGCTTTTCTAGGTCATGCTGAGACATTAGTCCTTTAATCCTGGAAATGTTCCTCAGGTGATAGAAAGCCGACCTTGTAATTGTCTTTAAATGCTTTTGGAGGTTCAAGTCTGAATCCAGCACTACACCTAGATTTTAGGCCTGATCAGTGGTTACTAGCTGAAGCGACTAAAGCTGTGTGCTAACTTTAGATCTCTCCTTTATGGGTCCAAAGATTATTACTTCAGTTTTGTTTTTATTCAGTTGAAGAAAATTATGGCACATCCAGTATTCCCATATTAGTTGGACAAACCTAAAAAAAAAAAGCTCCTATGTATGGTTCCATGCTTCTCAATGTTGGGACAGATCTCCATCTAGTGGTACAGAGAAGAATGTTATTCAGATCCAGGTTAAATACATTCAGAAGACCACAAGCTTTGCATCTGTAATTAATGGTGTGTTTAATATTTTCACACTGAGCTTAAAAGTATGAGGACATTTGATATTTATTTTTCTTAAATGTGACAACTGCAGATTGTACAGTACAGTAATTAAACTTTTTTCAGATTACTGTATATCACTTTATATTAGCTGACAGCACTACTAATTCAACCCACAGCTGATGATTTAAGAGTTGTTTTTTTATCTAAATGATGCTGGTTGAAGGGACTCACATCATGTCAGCTCCTGGTCCTCCATTGTGTCCATGGCCACATCTGAAGTCCAAAGTCATGCTTTGACTAGGCTTAAAACTTAGCATTTTCTGGAGATGATGGGATCAATTATGGCAAGCTTTCTTTAATTGGTTGAGTTTTGTTTCTTCTTCTCTGTAAGGAGACTTTTGGTTTTATAAAACAGAAGCCAAATAAATATATATTGTTATTATAACCTTGTGGGAGTCAAAAAACGATTTTCAGCCTTTTAAGATGACCTTGAAGAGAATATCCTGTTTCTAGACAACACAAAAAGGTACGACGACATGCAGCTCTCTCCCAACAAACCAGCTACTAAGCCGATAACATAAATAGTAACTTACAATGCTGTGAATGAGATTAAACGCTAATGCAACCACTATTGAGCATTTTTCCTTTGGATAAACTTTAAATGCACAAGTGCATTCTCACAAACAGCTACAGATGCTTGGCTCCAGGTACTCAGAGATTCACTTCCACACAGAAAGCCCACATTCTTATCTTCCGGTAAAACAGAATACTTTTCAAATTAAATAATACTACATATACTTCAGCGATAGTATCTAGGTGTTACTTTATTTTATATCTCATACCATGTCTGTTGGTTGTGCTGTTCTTTTTACATCTCTTTGCAGGTGATGAAGCAGACTTAAAATGTTTTATCGTTATATCCCTTTTATCTCCTCTTTCTTTCATCTTTTCTCCTTTATTTCTGTTTTTCCTTTCCTGTTGTACTTACATTGCAGTGTCCATATTATACGTAAAACTCCCTGCATAATTATAATAAAGCTATTTATATGCATAAATCAAGCGGAACACTGTGGCGATAGCCGTACTGCTCCACTTGTGAAAGTAAAATCTGTAGGGCTCTTTTTGACATCAAAACAATTATTTTTATCGCCACATTGCCAGACAGGACACTGTTAAAAAATAAAATAAAATGCTTCTGCAACAAGAAAACAGAAATTTGGCTGTGCCTCGCTTTCTGAGAATTCAAAGAGTAAAATTAAACCTTGAAGATGTTAGGAATCCAGTTTGTTTCCTTGTATTTATACCCTCTTTGTTGTTATTTGTATGCTGATAACAGTGCGGCTCATTTTTTATATTTTAAGTATTTCAAATTGTCTGACCTCAAGAACCGTCCATCGGAAATCAAAGGCTGTACAACACTTACAAACAAAACAGAGATTTTGTACTATTTCACTTGATGGGGGGAAAAAAACTCATCAGGTATCATCTTGTTTCTAAAGCTCCTACTGTAAAAAATGATCTGAAACCTGGGTGTCATCTTTGACAGTTTGCCTTCTGACAACGATAGCAAGATGTTAGTTTGCACCAATTTTTATCACTTAAGTAACGTCTTTGTGTGACAGACTGAACTTGAGATGGTTGATCATCTTTTTTTATTTCCTGGTAAGATAATTGTAATAGTCTTTTCACTTCCTGAAAGAAAAAAAATCTTGGCTCACATTCAGTTTGTGCAGAATGATGCATTGATATTTGACTGACTGTAAATCATAGTTAAGTTACATCTTGGACTGTTGCCAGTCCATCACAGGGCAGCAGTTAGAAACAAAGGACAAAAAAAAATGCTGGCAAAGAGATTTATTCTCAGTAGCTTCTTGTTTCTCTAAGCAGCTGGAGTTATGGTTACACTATAAACCTGAACAGTGACTGTGTTAAAGGTTAAACAGACCTGCTGGTATCATTCTCCGCTTAAATGGTCATAAACTCTAGTCCTTGATGGCTGGTGTCTTTTTAGATGCTTCTCTTCTGCAACACACTTTACTCCAAAATGCATAAGCAGAAAAACTGAAAAGCAATTACAGCTAGCTAAAATCTATTGAACAGAGCTATAAATAGGAAACCATGACAACCATTTGTTTACTCCACTGTAAGGGAACCCATGCAATGAGTTGGATTTGCTTTATTTTGTTCTTTACTAAAAGAGAAAAGTCAAAATTTTATATCGCAGATTTTATTTTTCAAAACATTTAATTTAGAAACTACACAAAAACAATTCAGATTTGTCTGTGTATGTCTAAAAAACGATTCTTTGCTTCAGTTTAATGCTTAAACAGGTCAAAGCAGGACTTAAAGAACACATTACATTTAATTCTAACAGGTTTTTAGAATTACATACATGATCAAATGCTGCATAGATTATAAAGTTATCTCAATTCTATTCTTTTTTTTTCTTCTTCCAAAGATTCATCATTAACATTGAAGGTAAATGTATCATTTAGGAATTATTTAAAAAATCAGATTAATATCAACTTCTTTAAAAAAAATCAGATTGTTCTATTCAGAATCTTAGCTTTTAAATAAGCTGCAGTAAATTCACAATCAAACACTTCAAACAGCATCACCAATCTCACTATATACAGAGTTAAAAATCAATGTTTACATTTATTTTCATATAAACTATCATTTACAGATTGTCTTTACACTTACACAGAATTTACAAACCCTTCTTATCATTTAAATGTTAGCATCAAGTGAAAGTTTACTAAAAGTTATAGGAAACATTAAATCACATCTAAAGCTGACCAATGTGTATTTATTAAGAAAGAAATGCTGCATTAGTTAAAAGTGAAGGACTAGACCAGGGTTCCGGTCTTCAAGGGCCGGCATCCTGCAACTTTTAGACGGCTTCAACACACCTGAGTCTAATGTGAGCTGATCTCGTAGAGTTAGTGACATATTTTAATAATTTGATGATTAAATGTAAGGCAAAGAATGCATCAGTTTGAGAAAACTTGTCTAGAACTTCTTCTTTTGGGATTTGGACCCAGATTGCTGATATAAGGAAGTAAAAATCAAAGCCTTTAAATGCATGACATGAAAACTATAGTGCTGCATTTTTGCAAAACAAAAAAAATGATCATATTTTTTCTTATAACTACAGAAAATCAGATTTTTAGATAACCAAACACCAAAAGAAATGTATTGCTATGTTATTGTACACCAGGCTTGTCTTCAGATGTTTTCACATACAGTCTCAGAGTTGCTTTGCACACTAAAGCTGTAATCATTAACAACATAAACAGATTACAGTCAGAATCATAACATAATAAACATTCATCATTACAACTTTCGGTTAGGGAATATGGAATATTCCAGTCAGAAGGAAATAAAATGATTAACTTGATCTTGCGTTTCGTCTCATAAAAGACTCTACAGGTGGTTTAATATTAAGGACAGAGTTACACTTTGGACGTTCAGATAATATCTCATTGTTCAGCTTAACTTGCTATAAAGATGTTTTAGTGGACGTAATGTTTTTTAGAACAGAGTAATTGTGGATGAAAACTCAGAGATAGTTAGAGTTAACTCATCTGTTCTGCACATATCTGAGAAAGCAATACATACTTGATTATTTTAAATGAAAAAAAAAATCTCCTAAGCAATGATAGCCTCATAAACAGAAAGGGGCAGCATCCAAATAAACCCCAAAATGACAAAGAAGCTCCATAAAAACAGCTGATCTATGAGCAGAAAAGAACAACAATGAAGGAAACTACAGAAACTGGAGCTAAAACTAACTGGAACTCAGATCAGTTCTGATTATTTCAGTTTAAGAACTTCAGCAGAGTCATCAACATAGAAAAGCCAAATCCCAGCATACAAAGGGTCAGTGAATGTGGTGAGGACTCTATGGAGGAGAGTCATGGTTTCAGAGACGCTGTAGAAAGACAGAACACCTGCTCTGTGATCCAGATACACTCCTATTCTGGAGGAAACCCGACCTGATACTGGAGTTTCAACTCTGTTGTGATAAAATGTGCAGCTGTCAGCTCTGCAGTCAAATGACCATGATTTCTCATTGAATCCAAACTCACATTCATCTGACCATCCTGATCTGCTGATATTCTTGTATGAAACTGCAACAACAACACCTTTTCCTTTCCACTCCACCTCCCAGTAGCAGCGTCCAGTCAGACTCTCTCTACTCAGGACCTGATTATATTCCATGAATCTGTCTGGATGATTAGGATAAGATTGCTTTTGTTTCATCCTTGTTACTTTTCTGTTACCCTCAGACAATAACAGTTTCTTGTTTGCTGTGTTTGGATCCAGAGTGATTTTTTTGGAATATTTTAGGAATCCAGCTCTGGTCTTTGGTTCTGGTTCTGAAAGTAAGACATTCACTTCATTGACCGCTTGTGAGATGTTTGTCCATGTGTCTCTCAGGATGTTCTTCAGTTTCTCTCTGAGCTCTGACACAGCTGCTGTCACATCCTCAAAGTATCTCAGAGTACGAATATTGATGCTGGATGAGTGTGTAGACTCACTGAGTGCTGACAGTGAGGGGTAGTTCTGGAGAAACTGGGTGTGATCCTCTGTGATTGAGAGCTTCTCCAGCTCAGCATCTTTCCTCTTCAGCTCAGTGATCTCCTGCTCCAGCTTCTTCTGAAGCTCTTTGACTCGACTCACTTCAGTTTCCTGCTGGGATCTGATCTGCTGCTTCACATCAGAGCTTCTTTTCAGGATCTGATTGATCAGATCAGTGAAGATCTTCTCATTGTCCTCCACTGCTTTATCAGCAGAGCCATTGATGGCCTCCACCTCCTGTTGAAGCAGCTTCACATCTTTCTCCTGGTCCTGGATTCTCTGCTGGATTTGTTGTCGTCTCTCCTGGAGCTCCTTCTGCTTCTCAGTCCTTTCTGCTGCAGCTGGGACTGTTTCATGCTCTTTATGTTCCTCCATTGAGCAAAGATAACAGATACACTGCTGATCAGTACGACAGAAGATCTTCATCACCTCATCATGACGAGAGCAGATGTTCTCCTGGAGCTTCTTAGAGGGGTCCACCAGCTGGTGCTTCTTCAATCCAGGGACATCATAGTGAGGTTGGAGGTGATTTTTACAATAAGAAACTAAACAGACCAGACAGGACTTAACAGCTTTCATCTTCCTCCCAGTGCAGGCATCACAGGCCACATCTTCAGGTCCAGCATAGCAGTGATCAGCTGGAGCAGCTTGGAGTCTAGTCTTCTTCAGATCCTCAACTAAAGCGGCTAATGTGACGTTTTTCTCTAAGGTAGGCTTTCGAACGAACGTCTTCCTGCACTGAGGGCAGCTGCAGCTTCTCTGCTTATCTTCTCCTTTCCAAACGTCTTTGATGCAGGTCACGCAGTAGCTGTGTCCACAGGGAATAGTCACGGGATCCCTCAGTAGATCCAAACAGATGGAACAGGAGAGTTTCTCCACCTGAGCACCTCTCTGAGCCATTTTACCTCTTAGTGACAGTAAGATCCTGCCTTTGAGGTTTAAATAGTTTGAACTTCCTCTTTAAGTCAGACTTTGAGCTCTTCCAGTAATACCCTGCCTGCCCCGTGATATCTTAAAGGAGTGGGCAATAACCATCACCCTAAACAAAGTGGAGCTTACGGTGTGTTAAAACAGGGAGAATAAATGATCATATCAGATCAGCCAACCAGACAAGGAACTAAAGTCATAGTTTAATTCACTTCTCTGCCACTTCTCTACTGTTACCTAACCATTACTCCATTCAGACAAGTGTCTTGCCGAGAATCAAGATGTAAATCTAAATGAGAAAACATTTCATTTAAACTACTAGGTGTCATGATCTTATCTTTAGCTCGGACCCACATGCAGTGAAACCAATTCAGAGAGACACAGATGAAAAGTTTAACAGGTTTTATTGAGGAGGTTAAGCACGGTGCAGTGTTGCTCTGAACTCTGCTCAGCTGTAACTGGAAGGTGAAGGAAAGACAGACTATTAGTTCAGGCTCAGTAGGAAATTTCATTCGTTGATTTGAAGAAGAGGATCTGGTTGTTAACTCACGCTTCCAGAGTAGTGAAGGATCTTTGACTCCAATCTGTGTGCTGTTTTCCAAAGTTTGTCTGATTTGGTGGAGGGTGGAACAGGGTTTACCTAGAACTCGGACGGTGTAGGAGAACGGAGATGCTGATTGCCACTCAGATTTCTTACTGAACTTGAACGGGTCGTAGTGAAGATGATTCCCTTGCTCAGAGAGTAATTTCAACATCCTCTCAAGGAGACTGGATCCAAACCTCTTGTTTGAATCCCTGGCTCAGTTTAAGGCTCAGTTGATCCCTCCTGGGAGTGGAGGTCCGAAAAGCTCCAGTTTGCAGGATGACTTCCTGCCGAGAGGCAAAGACAAAAAACGAAGTTAAAACTCAGGTAGACAAGAACTCAGTCTTACTCAGTGAAAACTCAGCTTGGCTAGAGTACCAAAAACTGGCAAACACTCTGGTGTCGAGGTAGTGGCAACCACCAGCTTAAGAGCACTCCGTTAACGAGGTAACCGTCAGCAGGTGTGTGAGGAGGCGGACCGGAACCAGGCGCCTCCTGTTGGTGGAAGGGAGACAGGCACAAAAACAAACACACAGACTGGAGCGCTGAGACTAGGACTGTAATTGACTGAAAAAAAATAAAATAAATGTGGTTAAATGATCAAATCTCTCTCCTTAAAAAGCTTTTAAATGTTTGTGATGATGAAAATAATGGTTTATATTGTCTTACAGAGACTTGGCTTCATGTAGAAGGGTAATTATACTAGAATTAATTTGTAAACTCAGCCTCAGCGATCCCCATCACCTTCTGTTACTCCTCAATCGACACTGTGGAGTCTTTCTTCTTCCTGGGAACTATCATCTCACAGGACCCAAAGTGGGAGCTGGACATCAATTACCTTACCAAGAACGCCCAGCAGAGGGTGGACTTCCTGTGGCAGCTGAATAAATTCAACCTACCAAGGTCAATAATGGTGCACTTCTACTCCTCCATCCTTGAGTCCATCCTCACCTACTCCATCATCTGGTATGGTGGTGCCACCGCCAAGGACAAAAGCAGACCGCAGCGTGTCTTCCGGTCTGCAGAGAAGGTGATTGGCTGCAATCTTCCGTCTCTCCAGGAACTGTACGCCTCCAGGACTCTGAGGCGCTCAGGGAAAAATGTGGCTGATTCCTCTCACCCCAGTGACAAACTATTTCACTCACTTCCCTCTGGTAGGAGGCTGTGGTCCATTAAACCGGCCGTATACTGGGTGATTTTTTTCAATCGTTGCACGCAGCTACTGTTCACACTGTACTACTAACCACAGGTTTTAGTCGTACAGTGCGAGCTCACAGCTCATGATGTATGTGCGCTCTGATGTGATCTACCTGCTCACACTGCACGACTAAAACCATGTCGTACTCAGCTCCACAGTAAGATGGAGCTGCTCTGACTCATCCATCCGGAAGCCAAACAAATAGAAGGGGAATATGAAGCTCACTATAGTGAAATGCGATTCCTTGGCAATTTATGCAATTCTGTGCCCAAAGCCCTAAAAAGAAAAGGGGACGACATATTTGGACAAAGATATGGCTGAGCAAATGTGGCTACTACGGTCTGTCAATTTTACAGAAAGAACCCCATTTCACTCATTGCAACCCCGCCATGCTTCTGTGTTTACATCTGAGAAGAAGAAGGAAAAGAAGAATCCTTGTTTGCGCACTGAATGATTTGCCCAACCTCCCGATTCCTGATCAGGTGTAACCCCATGTACACTACATGACTCACGATCAGGCTGAACGTCAGGCCGATCGAAAAATTCTTGCACGACTGGAAAATCGACCCGAAAATCGCACAGTGTACACCCGGCTTTAGGGACAAAAACCTCATGCCACAAGAACAGTTTCTTACCATTTGCTACAACCTACACCAACCTAGCATCTCAAGACCTTCTGCGTTACATTAATGCATAGTCTGCTATGTATATAGTATATAGTTAGGTACTATATATTGTATAAAACTTATCATATGGATTATGTTGTATATAGCTATCGATTCCGTATATATAAATACACACTACCGTTCAAAAGTTTGGGTCACATTGAAATGTCCTTATTTTTGAAGGAAAAGCACTGTATTTTTCAAAGAAGATAACTTTAAACTAGTTTGAACTTTAAAGAAATACACTCTATACATTGCTAATGTGGTAAATGACTATTCTAGCTGCAAATGTCTGGTTTTTGGTGCAATATCTACATAGGTGTATAAAAGCCCATTTCCAGCAACTATCACTCCAGTTTTCTAATGGTACAATGTGTTTGCTCATTGGCTCAGAAGGCTAATTGATGATTAGAAACCCTTGTGCAATCATGTTCACGCATCTGAAAACAGTTTAGCTTGTTACAGAAGCTACAAAACTGACCTTCCTTTGAGCAGATTGAGTTTCTGGAGCATCACATTTGTGGGGTCAATTAAACACTCAAAATGGCCAGAAAAAGAGAACTTTCATCTGAAACTCGACGGTCTATTCTTGTTCTTAGAAATGAGGCTATTCCATGCGAGAAATTGCTAAGAAATTAAAGATTTCCAACTACGGTGTGTACTACTCCCTTCAGAGGACAGCACAAACAGGCTACTGCGGTACTATTTAATGAAGATACCAGTTGGGGACCTGTGAGGCATCTGTTTCTCAAACTAGGGCTCTAATGTACGTATCTTCTTGCTCAGTTGTGCAACGCGGCCTCCCATTTCTTTTTCTACTGTGGTTAGAGCCTGTTTGTGCTGTCCTCTGAAAGGAGTAGTACACACCGTTGTAGGCCAAGTAGCCAAGCCACGTCTTCTCTACAGGAAAGGTTGGGTCGTCTTCACTAGGAGATTTAATGACGGGACCCCACACGGTCACACCCCCAAAAAAACTTTTGGTTATAATTATTTTGGACACTTAACACCCAGTTTTACTTCTGTTTCGTCTTTAGGCCCTTAGTCTCAATTTTCAGATCACTTTCAGACCTCTTATTTAATTTAGTATTAAATGCTGATAAAGTAATTATTGGGTGAGATTTTAACATATTTATGCCAACATTAAAGTTGAAGGCTTAAATACAGCCTTTAGTGCTATCTTACACTTGATTGGCTTTGTTTTAAGTTTGTATACTCCCACGCATTCTCATCTCTGCACTTTGGACCTTGTGCTGAGATATGACAGTGATTGTGAAGAACTAACAGTACTTCCTTACAATCCTGCCCTATCTTACTATTCTTAATGACCTATAAATGTAATTTAACTGAATTTTCCTCCCCAAATGATGGTATCTCTTTTGCAAGTTGCTATCAGATAATGCAGTAACAAACAAAATCTGTTCTCCTATTGATTATTTCCTGTATTACAGGAAAGAAGTGCAGAGGGCACTCAATTCCCTTCACAAACTGATGATTTTGTTGATGTGATTACTTCTTCACTGGACATCGTATTATACAATACAACGCCCACCACCCGAAAAAGAAGGAATGCATTTATAGGAAGCTGGCTCCAAATTTTTGATTCAGAGCTATGCACTTGGAAGCATTATGCTAGGAAACTGAAGGGAAAATGTTACTCTACACTTTTAGAGGAAAACAAAAATAATCTCAGATTTCTCTTTAATCGACTTGCCAAAATTACAGAAAGATTTTGGTGTTCAAAATAGGAATTCTTGAAAACTGCTCAAAATAATATAACCTTCAAGAAGGCAACAGAAAATGAAGACTGGACAACTTCAGATACAAGCAAGTGTCCTTTTTCAGTGTGTCTCATTGATGCATTAATAAATAAATAATCCAGCAGAAAGATGAATATGTGGTGGTCAAAATAATTTCACAGTATAGTATTCCAGCCCTGCTATCCAACAGGCACAGAGCTGTAGACACAGAAACACCTGTTTACCACACAGTGCGTTGCTCCAAGTTTGTTTTGCTAAATTTAAGTACATAATGAGGTAAAAACATAAATGGGGTCAATCAGCACATTCTCGGGTATGGTGGCTGCAGCACCTAGATGTGAGGAGCTAAAGGAGATCATGTAGTTTGTGGATATTTAGGCTGCATTTCTAGCATCCATTGCTAATTGTAAAGAAAATTTAGTGTAATGAATCATCTCATCACCTGCTCAGTGCAGCAGTAGGTAGCACTGCTGCCTTGCAGCAAGAAGGTTCTGGGTTCGATTCTCAGCCTAGGTTATTTCTGCATAGAGTTAGCATGTTCTCCCTGAGCATGCATGGATTCTCTCTGGGTATTCTGGCCTCCTCCCACAGTCCAAAAACAAGACTATTAGGTTAATTGGTTTCTCTAAACTGTCCTTAGGTATGTCAACCAAAACTTGAAACTGTCGAAGCTTTGAAGCAAAGGCCCACTCTGTAGAACAGATAGGCCTGCAAGTTATTGGTACATTTTGTTAGATTCATTTGTATTTTGTCTCCTTTTTCTTGCATAAGAACAAACCAGTGTGTCTCTTTAAATAGGTGTTTGTTTGGTCAAAGAATCTTTGCATTCAATACTATAATATACTTATTATTTAAGCCTGTTTAACTTACAGAGTTTGCCTTGCAAATGAAGGGCTCCAGCTCCGGCTTTCAATGTTATTGTGCCCTTGGGCAAGACAGTTCACCTGCATTGCCTAATGTTGGTGGTCAGAGGGCATCTGTAGTGCAGCCAAGAGTTGATCACTGAGACCCATGATAAAGACCAGTGCAGCTTGCCACCATTAGTGTATGAATGAATGGATGAATGAATAAATGTAGTGAAAAGTGCTTTGGTTAAGTCTTCTGACTTGAAAAAGTGCCATATAAGTAAAGGTCATTTACCAAATCATTCATATAACTGATAATTTAATCATTATAAGTAAAATAGTGTGTATAATTAGTTTTTATAGAACTGAAACAAAATAGAAAAAAGGAGCATCTCTTGTCTTTTTGTTATACAATAACAAGTTTAATTTTGTGCAAATATGTCAAGATATATAAAAGAAAATGAAAAAGTAAAATAAAGTTCTGGATGGTAAAACTAGTATTTTCAATCTTGATAATAGTAGGAACCATGCAGTTGAATCTACTTGCTGACATTAAACTCAACATTCTGCGCTCCTTTCCAGGAACAGTTGACACCCATTTTAGGTTATTTGTTACACTGACATTGAGAGGATCACTGCTTGACCAGCTATGAGTTAGTTTGGTCATGCGTACTCATTGATGACATACAGGTCTGAGCTTCCTTATACCTGGGGAAGGGAGCCAAAAGGTGTGACAGCTGTAAATTATTTTCTTCTACCCTTCTTTTCTGCACACAAGCCCGGTAAGATAAATAGCAGAGAGGAACCAGCGTTGGTAACTTGCAACTATTTTTCTTTCATTATTTGATCGTCTTTAAATGTTAACATTTTCAGTCATTCATAGCCCTGGGTTATGTATCTGTGTGCACTTAAATCAAATTTGAAAAAGCACACTTAGGGCTGCTCTTCATAGGGTTTTTAAACAAGAGAAAAATGTGTTTTTACATGCAGAGCAGATCTTCAAAGAAGCACAAATGATTTGCATTTTCAGTTCAGTGCATGTAAACCTTTTTTTGTTTTTGTTTTGGTTTATGACCTCTGGTCTGAAAAACACATGTGGTTGGCCTTGCAGCTGGTGGTCTGCTCAGTGCTGCAGGTTGCTGCTGTTTTTCTGCATTTGTACCTTTTTTCTCTGGTGTCGTAGAAAAGATCTGCTCCTCTAAGATCAGGGATGTCAAAGTGGTTCCAGAAAAGGCCGTGTGGCTGCAAGTTTTTTTTTTCCAACCAAGCAATAGCACACCAGACTCCAGTTATCTCAGGTGAGTCCAATCTGAACATGATGACTTGATGATGAATGGAGTCTGGTTTGCTAATCTTTGATTGGAAAGATAACCTGCAGCCACACGGCCCTTTCTGGAACCACTTTGACATCCCTGATCTAAGAGAAGCAGATCTTTTCTACAACACCAGAGAAAAAAGGTACAAATGCAGAAAAACAGCAGCAACCTGCAACAGTGTTTTCAGACCAGATGTCATTAACCAAAAAAAGGTTTACATGCACTGAACTGAAAATGCAAATCATTTGTGCTTCTTTGATCTGCTCTGCATGTAAAAACACTTTTTTCTCTTGTTTAAAGACACCCCTGACTTCACGGATTTCCACCAAAATCTACTTTTTCCCATTGACTTTTGTTGCCACCTACTGGACAGATTTAGTTTAATTTAGTTTTTTAAAAGGTAAAATTTTTAAGACACTGCTGAAGGTTTAAAACCTCCTTTAATTAATTTCAAATAAGAGTTTTTTCTATCTGTGCCTGACTGAAACCAGAGCTATATTTTGAAAAAGTGTAAAAAGTTTGAACGGTATCAAAAATATACTATTTAAAAGACACATATATGCTAATACTTGTTGCTCTAAAATGTGTTGTTCCTGTTAAAAATTAAAAGTATTCAAAATGTACATAATATATATTATGATAGAGTGTTTTGCTCCATTAATGCAAAAATGGCTTAAAAACCTCCAGTAGAACATTAGTTTTAGAAAGTTAGCAGCGGCTGTGCAGCGGTTAAACCCGCAACCCATGAACAGGCTTTGGTCCTCAACACAGCCAGCCCCTCACAGGTTTGAGGCCTGGTGACCTTACGGATTTCTTCCCCCTTTCTATAATCATATTTCCTGTCTGCCAACTTTCAAAAATAAACACTAATCATTAAAATTATACTGTTAATTAATTAATGATTAATAATTATGTATATATATATATATATATATATATATAAAAAAAGAAAAGTGTCTAGGACTTCATTTTCCCTAAACTCTACAGACTTCATGTCATGAAGTAAATCATTTTCTTTTGTAAAGTATAAATGGATGTCAATCAGGTGCTTTTGAGAACATGAACCATGAGACTTATGCTGGTATCTGAAGTAAAAATGTAATAAATTGCTCACTGAAATCCTGGACCTTTGATTCCAAGTCGGTTCCTCTCAGCTTAAATATTACAAGAATGCAAACTGAGTTAAAGGAAATGCTTAATGAAAATTTCTTTAATGTCTGCATACAAAAGAGGGAAAAATAATACACTCAGAGGAAAAGAAACCACAAATATATATAATATGTATTTGTGTTTATTCAGTTAAATGTTCCAGATGTTAAAATATTAAATGAAAGTCCAATAGAATAGCTTAGAAGAGGGAAGGAGTAGCAACACTTGTATTTTTTAATTTTTTCTGTCAAATGTGAACTCCATATTTATTTGTATTTGTATTTTGCTTAATTTTAATTTAATTTAACTTAATACTTTTTTGTTGCTTAATTTTAACTTCATTTAACTTAATACTTTTTTGTTGCTTAATTTTAATTTAATTTAACTTAATACTTTTTTGTTGCTTAATTTTAACTTCATTTAACTTAATACTTTTTTGTTGCTTAATTTTAACTTCATTTAACTTAATACTTTTTTGTTGCTTAATTTTAACTTCATTTAACTTAATACTTTTTTGTTGCTTAATTTTAACTTAATTTAACTTAATACTTTTTTGTTGCTTAATTTTAATTTAATTTAACTTAATACTTTTTTGTTGCTTAATTTTAATTTAATTTAACTTAATACTTTTTTGTTGCTTAATTTTAATTTAATTTAACTTAATACTTTTTTGTTGCTTAATTTTAACTTCATTTAACTTAATATTTTTTTGTTGCTTAATTTTAACTTAATACTTTTTTGTTGCTTAATTTTAACTCAATTTAACTTAATACTTTTTTGTTGCTTAATTTTAACTTAATTTAACTTAATACTTTTTTGTTGCTTAATTTTAACTTAATTTAACTTAATACTTTTTTGTTGCTTAATTTTAACTTAATACTTTTTTGTTGCTTAATTTTAACTCAATTTAACTTAATACTTTTTTGTTGCTTAATTTTAACTTAATTTAACTTAATACTTTTTTGTTGCTTAATTTTAACTTAATTTAACTTAATACTTTTTTGTTGCTTAATTTTAATTTAATTTAACTTAATACTTTTTTGTTGCTTAATTTTAACTTCATTTAACTTAATACTTTTTTGTTGCTTAATTTTAACTTAATACTTTTTTGTTGCTTAATTTTAACTCAATTTAACTTAATACTTTTTTGTTGCTTAATTTTAACTTAATTTAACTTAATACTTTTTTGTTGCTTAATTTTAACTTAATTTAACTTAATACTTTTTTGTTGCTTAATTTTAACTCAATTTAACTTAATACTTTTTTGTTGCTTAATTTTAACTTAATTTAACTTAATACTTTTTTGTTGCTTAATTTTAACTCAATTTAACTTAATACTTTTTTGTTGCTTAATTTTAACTTAATTTAACTTAATACTTTTTTGTTGCTTAATTTTAACTCAATTTAACTTAATACTTTTTTGTTGCTTAATTTTAACTTAATTTAACTTAATACTTTTTTGTTGCTTAATTTTAACTTAATTTAACTTAATACTTTTTTGTTGCTTAATTTTAACTCAATTTAACTTAATACTTTTTTGTTGCTTAATTTTAACTTAATTTAACTTAATACTTTTTTGTTGCTTAATTTTAACTCAATTTAACTTAATACTTTTTTGTTGCTTAATTTTAACTCAATTTAACTTAATACTTTTTTGTTGCTTAATTTTAACTTAATTTAACTTAATACTTTTTTGTTGCTTAATTTTAACTTAATTTAACTTACCGGTAATACTTTTTTGCCCTGTAAGCTGCTGGTAACCTTAATTTCCGGAGGGAGTCTTCCCAAGGTATCAATAAAGTACTGTCTAAGTCTAAGTCTGTTAAAGCAATGAATGCAAATGTAGTTGCTTTAGGTAAACAAACCCCCCCCCCCCCCCCCCCCCCTGAACAGAGAGAGCCCCAATAACCGAACAGAAACAGGACGGGGCAGCACCAAACCTCTAACACCAGCAAAACAACTAACAAGAAGTTAAGTAGCTCCATAAAGACAGCTAATTTCTGAGCAGCAAAGAAATTACACAATTAGCTCTAAGCTACAATAATAAAGAAGAAAGAGCCAAATAACCAAACTAAAAGAAGATAAACATGTTAACCAACTGGACCTCAGAAAAATCCAGATTATTTCAGTTTAATAAACTCAACAGAGGATCCGTCATAAAGCCAAACTCCAGCATATAGAGGCTGAGTGAATGTGGTCTGGACTCTATGGAGGAGAGTCATGGTTTCAGAGACGCTGTAGAAAGACAGAATACCTGCTCTGTGATCCAGATACACTCCTATTCTGGAGGAAACTGGACCTGATACTGGAGTATGGATGTTGTTGTAGGAAAATGTGTAACAGTTAGTGCAGTGGTTCCCAAAGTGTGTGTGCAATGCCATTGCAGGGGGGGGGGGGGCGCGGGAAGCGGTATGGATGAATGAAGAAAAAAAAAAAAAAAGCGCTTGCTTGACTGAGCATAATGGACAGTTGTGACACTGCAACCCAGATTTGAGAAGATCTACAGCAAAAAGCAGGCTCTCTACAGCCCCTGAAAAGATGGGAGGATTAAAGTACAAAGAAAAAACTCTCAGGGAGCTGTTAAATGTTTTCACTCCATTTTGCACAGAGGCTTTTTTAATGTATAGATTATAGCAAAGTTAAATATTGTTACAAATAAAAAAAAAGAAATATGTTTAAAATAACACAGACAAAAAAGAATCCTCTTCTAATCTACAGTATAGAACTATGAAAAAAAATACAGTTACACAAAAGTGTTCCACTGTAAAGATGGTGTAGTTTGTTTTGTTGCAACCTGAAGTGTGAAATAAACTTCAGTGGAGTTTGAAAACAAAATATGTGTGTAGATTTATTATATCTGGTTGAACGATGTGTGTGCCCAGTTGATTTTTTTTTTTGGGGGGGGGAGGCGTGGAAATTTTATTGTAATCCAAAGGGGGGCCCAGAAGAAAATCTTTGGGAACCACTGAGTCAGTGTAACTGTATAATGACCAAGATTTGTCGTTTCCCCCAAACAAACATTCATCTAATCTTCCTTCTTTACTGATGTTTCCATATGAAGCTGCAACAGCTTCAACTCCTCCTTCTCCTCTCCACTCCACCTCCCAGTAGCAGCGTCCAGTCAGACTCTCTCTGCTCAGGACCTGTTTATAATCAGTGAATCTGTCAGGATGATCAGCATAAGGCTGTCGTTCATCAGTTATTTCTACTTTCCTGTTTCCCTCAGATAATAACAGAAATCTGTTTGCTGTGCTCGGATCCAGGGTGATTTCTTGTGAATATTTGACAAACTCAGCTCTGGTCATTGGTTCTGACAGTAAAACATCCACTTCAGCGATCAACTCTGAAATGTTTGTCCATGTGTCTCTCAGGATGTCCTGTATTTTCTCTCTGAGCTCTGACACAGCTGCTGTCACATCCTCAAAGTATCTCAGAGGACGAATATTGATGCTGGATGAGTGTGTAGACTCACTGAGTGCTGACAGTGAGGGGTAGTTCTGGAGAAACTGGGGGTGATCCTCTGTGATTGAGAGCATCTCCAGCTCAGCATCTTTCCTCTTCAGCTCAGTGATCTCCTGCTCCAGCTTCTTCTGAAGCTCTTTGACTCGACTCACTTCAGTTTCCTGCTGGAATCTGATCTGCTGCTTCACATCAGAGCTTCTTTTCTGCAGGAGACAGATCAGATCAGAGAAGATCTTCTCACTGTCCTCCACTGCTTTATCAGCAGAGCCATTGATGGCCTCCACCTCCTGTTGAAGCAGCTTCACATCTTTCTCCTGGTCCTGGATTCTCTGCTGGATTTGTTGTCGTCTCTCCTGGAGCTCCTTCTGCTTCTCAGTCCTTTCTGCTGCAGCTGGGACTGTTTCATGTCCTTTATGTTCATCCATGGTGCAGAGATAACAGATACACTGCTGATCAGTACGACAGAAGATCTTCATCACCTCATCGTGACGGGAGCAGATGTTCTCCTGGAGATTCTTAGAGGGGTCCACCAGCTTGTGATTCTTTAATGGTGTAGTATAATAGTGAGGCTGGAGGTGATTCTCACAGTATGAAGCCAAACAGACCAGACAGGATTTAACAGCTTTCCCTTTTCTCCCAGTGCAGACATCACATGCTACATCTTCAGGTCCAGCATAGCAGTGATCAGCTGAAGCTTGGAGTCCAATGTTCTTCAGATCCTCCACCAACTCTGCTAACATGATGTTTTTCTCTAGGACAGGCCTTGGTGTGAACATTTTCCTGCACTGAGGGCAGCTGTAGATCCTCCTCTCATCTTCTACGTCCCAGTGATCTTTAATGCAGTCCATACAGTAGCTGTGTCCACAGGGAATAGTCACTGGTTCCCTAAGTAGATCCAAACAGATCGAACAGGAGAATTTTTCTTGATCCAGAGCCATTTTACTTCCCTGTTACCGGTTAGAAATCGAACTTACACAACACTGCAGCTAACGTCTTTAATCACACCCACAGCTGAACTGATTTCAGGGCGAGGCGACAATTAAATATCTTACAGGTGGAGCAAGTTATGAAGAGAAATATTCTAAATAAGACAGTATAAAAACAAAAAGTTTTATTTTTATTTTTTTAGATTAATGGTGGCTCTGTATAATGAACTGATCTTGGCTGTGATTTCAGAAGTTATTTAAACTTTATGTTAATTTCTTTTATTCTCTTTTCTGAATTGAATTGAAAGCACATTTTTTGTATATCTTGGAGGCTGCTTTTTAAAGCTTATCTGATATAACATGTGTCCCTTATAGATGCTGTTTAACTATAGATAACTGAATTAATTAAATTCTACTGTAAAGCATAAGTAGTTGAATTGCTTTGTTTTCTTAACCCTTTTAATAAAAACAGGAACTGTTCATGTTAACATATGTTTGTAGAGAAAATCATATAATAAATAACTCAAGAGTAGAAGAAAATGTCCTCCTTGACAGCTGTGTTGCTGCATCGTTCTGCATAAGCCCAGACATGTATTAAAAGAGAAGGGTGTTCCTTAATTTGTTAAAGGTTATGCAAAATCAATCCCTACCTGGAATCAGAGAGGAGTTTTACAAGTGACACTTCAAGAGCTCTTTATCGGGAAAAAATACATCTATATAGCAGCTTGCTGGGTAGCATTAATGAAAAGAAAATAACCATCTGACTCTAAAGTCAACAGTCAAACCACAAATATGTATTAGTGATTTTGTAAATAAGTCCTTTGACACCAGGTCTTTGAAGTGCCTGTGTAAACCAACCCTGGCTCCTGAATTGGGGCAGAGAACCAGAGAACCAGACGTTAGCAGAGTTACAGTTTCTCTGACCCAAGTGGTGTTTAACTATTTGACTTCTGTGCAAGCCACGGATTGTCCAAGATGATCACCATGCTCACCATAAGAATATCAATGTTGACACCAGGACACCATGGGCTGGAGGTCGATGATCATGTTTTGGACACCAGGGCGAAGAGAGGGGTGAAACTGTCCACTGATCAGCACCTGGTGTTGTCTTGAATATGCTGGAAGACGAAGAAATCATGCAGACTTTGTGCAGCGAGTATTACAAAGAATCAATCATCGATCATAAAAACTTGTTAAACGTTTTCTAAGGAAACCCAGCAGATCCTAGCTGAGTATGTGGGGACAAAAGATATTCATTTGTATTGTGTATTCGACTCTACGTCAATCCTTCACACTGAGCATGCATGCAACGTGGAGAAAAAAAAAACACCTCAGTGTGACAGGAAGAAACCTGTAGCAGAAATAAGTGTGAGCTACCTTCCGCCAAAGCTCTCAGGTTGGCTCTGTCAAGGAAAGAAACAGTTAAGCAGATTAGCTATCAGCCAGTTTTATGTCAAAAATAATAAAAGAGAGCCCGTAGTCTAGGAGAGAAACAGGACTAAGCACTGAAAAACAGGCAGAAATCCATCATCTATAACAGAATGTGTTGATGGCTGTAGTACAGCAGATATTTCTCTACAGGATGGTGTCTTAGCCAAACACTACCAGACCAGACAAGGATATGACTGGAGAAAGAAGAGAGAACAAAAGGTTTGGGGTTTGACTGACAAATACTGAAGAACTGGAGAATCGAAGTAGAAAAAGTGGTGCCTATGTCCTCTGGCAGCCTGCGCCTATAGCAGCATAACTATAAGAATAGCACAAGATTCTGCACAGCGTTAAGGATTTATATTCAGTGCGCTCAAAGGATTTGTGAATTCAAACAAAACATTAATGAGCAAATCAAAACTATTGCACTGCACACTGTAAGCATAAATAAATCAGGAGCAGGGATCTGGAGTCATTTTTGCCCTTAGTCCAGCTTAAATAATGTCATCTAGACCCACTAGTGTTACATAACCTTTTGAAAATATGATTCTATTGAATTCTACTACATTCTGTAGATTTGAGTTCCACAAAAATGGCTCTCTTACGCTGAGTTTTGCTGCCACCTGGTGGACAAATGTTAGGATACATCCGAAATCTTTTAACCTTTAATCAGTTTTAAAAAAATGTTTTCCCCAAACAGTTAACTGTATGTTTGGTCAGAGTCATATGTACAACAGCCATCCTTTTTAAACTTGTCAAGTAGGAAAAAGTTGCAATGTATCACTACACAAAATAGCTCCTTTTTTGCTCACTATGCTAATAGTTTTTCTGACCCAACATAATCACCACATTTTCAACCAATTAAACTTGAAAAATCTATTAAACAATAACGTTTATGTTCCTTTATTAAAATGCTGCTAATATTTTCAATGCAATTATTTAATCTCCTCTTTAGTCACAGCCGATCTCCACTCATTGCATATATTAGAACTAATGAAATTTCATGTAATACTGTTGTATATAAGCATAAAATGAACTGTCTGCAGGACAAATCTGTTTCACTGGAACATTGATTTAAATCAAGTGTCAAGTTCCTGCCTATTATTCCCTGGAAGATCTCTGGATCTCTGATGTTGATCTGCAGGTATCTGTGCTGCTGCATGAGTGCAGCTGCAGGGTGTAGAACCTCCAGAACATTCGCATCAGGAATCTCTCCTTTAGAAGCATCCATCTCCAGATCCTCCCTAAACTCTACACACTTCCAGACAACAGCTACAATTCACCACTGAATAATATCCTTTATTTTCTCTTGTAAAGTGTGAGATATAGAAATGAGTGATGGTTGATAAATGAATGGTTAATAAATGGAGATATCTGAAATAGAAATGTGATAAACGATTCCCCCAAATATTTCACTAAGAAAAACTAAGAAAACCAACTGTGTTGAAACTATATTAACAAAATAAATAAGACGCCTTACAGGAAAACAACTGACAAATATATGATCTTTATTTGCTGTTGTTATAAGTGATACTGCATATTAAATGAAATGAATTTGATCTGATGATGAACTGATTGATGATCATAGTCATAGATTCCATCAGCTTATCTCTACAACGATTCTGACTGATAACATAGTAAATGTAATTTAGCTAAATAATATTCCTCAACAGCAGTGCTGGCCTACATGGCTGAACAAAAAAAAGAAGTGTAAATTTACAGTCATATGTTTATATTACTGTCTCTCTCTCTCTCTCTCTCTCTATATATATATATATATATATATATATATATATATTTTTTTTTTTTTTTTTTACTATTTTTTTAAGGCTGTATCTTTAAAAAGATGAAACTGTCCAGAGAGCTGTTCCAAATGAAATTTCTTTTTGTTTTACACTTGTGTAAACAAAATGACAAATCTAAGTATAACAGAAATAGGGAGCTAGCCTCATGAGACCATCCTGATCTTGCGAGCTTTTAAGATTTCACTCGCTAATCGTTAAAGAAAATTTGGAGCCGTTCACCAAACGAACGTCCAATCAGCGTTGGCTTTGAGGCGGGTTGAGGTGTGACACAACGAGAAGCGCGACAGTTCAGTCTAAAGAGCATGGCGGCTTCAGCCGATGAAACTAGCGTTAGCGTGGCTATCGAGCAAATTTTATCGGAATTACAGAGTATTTCTTCACTGAAAGAAGAGCAAAACACTGCTCTGGAGGCTTTTCTCAGAGGAAAAAATGTTTTTGCTCTTCTCCTGACTGGTTTCGGCAAGAGTAGCCTGGCTGTTAGTACGTCATATGCTTCGTTGACCCGATTGGTTTATTTGGCCCGTCTATCACCAACATAGGCCAATCAGCTAACCAGTATTTCCGCCGCTTCCCAAAATGACTTAAACGGAAGGTTTCCATCTGGCGGAGTCAGGTTAATAGGAAGAGGCAGCACCTCAAAATAACTCCCTTTTTAAAGTAGCTTTATAAAGTGAGCTGATGTCAGTGAAGAAATTACAGAAAAATTAGCTCCAAGCAACAAAAATGAAGACTTATTGTAAGGTTTGTTTGTCTCTATACAGCCTTAAAGGGTCACTATGTAGTCAAAGGGAACATAAGGTGCACATAAAAGCTGCACACATCACATGCTTGCATGACCAGCTAACCTACGGCGTGACTTATGCTACTAGAAACACTTCTACTATCTATACTGTGTAACACTTAGGCTTATCTTAAAGGCATAAGATGTTTTACTGCTTTATTATTGGCTGACCCTGTAACCACCATGTTTTCTTTCTAATAAAAGGCGGATGCAGAGGGAGAGCTGCTGAAAGAGTAGTAGAGAGAAGCTTCCTGTTCTGTAGAAGAGTAAAACAGAAGCCGTGTCTCAATGCCTCCTTGTGTCTCTTCTTTATTTAAAGTGTTCTGAACCCAACACTTATGAAAACTGGAGGTAAAATATGCATTTGAACCAACTGGACCTCGGATTAACTCTGACTACTTCAGTTTAACTAACTCAGCAGAAGCTCTGTTAACTAAAGGCCAAACCCCAGCATATAGAGGCTGAGTGAATGTGGTCTGGACTCTATAGAGGAGAGTCATGGTTTCAGAGACGCTGTAGAAAGACAGAATACCTGCTCTGTGATCCAGATACACTCCTATTCTGGAGGAAACTGGACCTGGCAGTGGAATTGGAGTTTTCTTGTGATAAAATGTGTAACCGCTTCTATGGCAATATAAAGACCAAGATTTTTCATCCCATCCAAACTTTTGTACCCTGCTGATATTTTTGTACGAAACTGCTACATGAACTCTCCCCCCTGTGCACTCCACCTCCCAGTAACAGCGTCCAGTCAGACTCTCTCTGCTCAGGGTCATAAACCTTAAGCTGAATCGGTTCGGATGATAAGAATGAGACTGTTTCTGTTTCATCCTTGTGACTTTTCTGTTCCCCTCAGATAACACCAGCTTGTTGTGTGCCGTGTTTGGATCCAGAGTCAGTTCTCGTGAATATTCCAGGAATTCTTCCCTGGTCTGGAATTCCGGTCTCCACAGTGAAGCATACCTTTCCTCCTGCTTCTTAAATCTTTCTGCTGCAGCTGGTGAGATTTTTTCATGGTCTTTATGTTTATCGATAGTGCAGACATGACAGATGCACTGCTGATCAGCACTACAGAACATCCTCCCCGCCTCGTTATGACGAGAGAACATGATCTCCTGGAGCTTCTTGGAGGGGTCCCCCAGCTTATGCTGCTTTAGTCCAGGGACGTCATGATGAGGTTGGAGGTGATCCTCGCAGAAAGAGAGTAAACAGACCAGACAGGACTTAATGGCTTTCATTTTTCTCCTAATGCAGCAGATATCACAGGCCACATCTTCAGGACCAGCTGCTCTAGCTTGGAGTTCACTTTCCTTCAGATCCCCCCCTAAAGCAGCTGACATGACGCTTTTCTCCAACACAGACCTCAGGATGGACTCTTTCCTGCACTGAGGGCAGCTGAAGATCCTCCTCAGACTTTCTCCGTCCCAGTGGTCTTTAATGCAGGTCTTACAGTAGCTGTGTCCACAGGGAATATTCACTAGATCCTTCAGTAGATCCGAACAGATCAAACAGGAAAGCTAACGTTGGTCTGATTCTGTTTGTCTTTGCTCGAACTCTGTGAAAACAGCTGTGTGACTTTCTCTCCCCTACAACAGAAACTAGTTTGAGCTGGTTTCCTACAGCAAACATCACTGTCTCCACCCATCACTAAGTTTGGTAGTCAAAGTGGGAGGCAACAAGGATTATTAACCCATAAGGCTGTTTTGAAAACTGTGAGGATTTAATCAGAATCAGACTGATTCTGATTAAATCCTCTCAGTTTTTAAAACAATAAGGTTGTTCTGCACAGTTTGAAGTGCTGCATGTTTTATTCCCAGTTAGATCCAAATATGGAGGACCAACTCTGCCATATTTAAAAATAAATATGAGACCAGAGGAGTAGCCAGAAAATGTTTATTAGGGTGGCCAGGCAATAACCAATGTACACTGAGGGATGGCACCAGAACCTCAGGGTCAATCTACACTCTTCCAACAGGAAAATTAAAATGCAAAAGATCCATATTTTCTAAATAAAGACAAAATATACTTTCCTACAACCTTTGCTAACAAATAGACGCATTTATTTAAACATCTGTGCTTCCTAGATAAAAGGTATAGTGGATAAAATCCTTTCAGGTTTGACTTCTGGGGCGAACATCTTTTCCATTGTCTTTACTTACCTTCTTTCATCAACAATCATTCTGGATAAAATTGATATTTACAATTACTAATAGCCACATATTGATTATTTAATGTTTTTTTATTAAAATAGTTATTTATTTATGATTTCACTGAAGACAACTAGATGACTTGCAGAGAAACATAATGTTCTCTTTACCCCATGAAACATAAAATCGAGCTATGGAAAGAGCATGACTTCTGCACTTATCATTTCTAACTGTTAGAATTTAATGCGCATAATTAACCACAGTTTTTTTATTGTCAAGTAATTGTTAATATATGAAAATTTTAAATGTTTTGAATATTCCACTTGAGAGTATTACTGCTGCCACCGTCTGTATTAGAGGGAAAAAATGATAGGGGTGGCTAATGATGAGACATAAATGTTGGAATCTCTTTTAATTAACTTCTTTATTTATTTACCTTTGTAATATTACCTTATTTATTTATTGTCCCTTATAATCTTCAACTTTATTTATTAATTTTATTATTATTAGTATTTATTTATGTGCATGTGATATTTTTGCCTGTATTATTCTTCCTTTGTTTTTTTTCACCCTATTTATTTCCTCTATGCTATTTATTTCTTCCTGTCGTTTTTACATTTCTCTATCCATTTCTGCCTCATTATGCAAATGAGGAAGTGTGTGTCTTAGATGTTCACCTTCTCCCCATTGGTTGGTTAACATTTTACTTGAATCTACAAGAGGAGAGGAGAGAAGTCAAGTCTGAAGTCAGTGGCCGTTTCTCAATTCATAAGAACTCAAATATGGACTTATGGAGGACAAACTCTGCCATATTGAAAAATAGAGAAATAAATAAAGGCTCAATAAATAAATAAGCATACAATTAATCTTCAATTTATTACATATCTTTTAAAGTATTTTTGTGCATGTGATAATATCTTTGTTTATTCTTCCCTTGTATTTTTCACCGTATTTATTTCTTTCCATTCAGCCTCACATTTGATCACTGCTGCTTGTCATCTTTTAACATACTGCATATAATCCTACAAAAACATTTTTTTCAATCCAGCTGTACTTAAAGGAATAGTACACCCAAAACATGATTAGCCTTCATTTTCTACTCACCCCCATGCTGAACAACACTCTGGAGTACTTTTTTGATATCTCAAATGCATCTGGAGATCTGGGAGGCTTCTTGCTGTCTGCTGATATTCAAATAATGGAGGTCTATGGTGCCCGAGGCAGAAAGGTCCATAAAAGTCCACAAAAACGTGTCAATATTCCTCCATACTGCTCGTCCAATGTAATCCAAGTGTCCTGAGTGGGTAGCATCCAGAATTTACTCGAAACGAAGTCATTTAGAATGTTTTTAGAGCATAAACAGTAGTGTATAGGATTTCCTGAAAGTGCGCGCCTGCGCGTTCACGACGCTACGGGAGCCGGCAGACCAAACCAGATGAAAGTGCGCATTCAGCGTCTGCTCTGCCGATAATGCAAGCGTAGAAGAAGAAATGTGCTGTTTACCTGTGCAAAGAAAGAAACAACGAAAGAAAAATGTCTGAGGACTTCAGTGTTGAGGAAGAGCATGAGTTCTTTGCCGAGCTGAATGCGCACTTTCCTCTGGTTTGGTCTGCCGGCTTCCGTAGCGTCGTGAACGCGCTTTCAGGAAATCCTATACACTACTGTTTATGCTCTAAAAACATTCTAAATGACTTCGTTTCGAGTAAATTCTGGATGCTACCCACTCAGGACACTTGGAATACATTGGACGAGCAGTATGGAGGAATATTGACACGTTTTTTGTGGACTTTTATGGACCTTTCTGCCTCGGGCACCATAGACCTCCATTATTTGAATGTCAGCAGACAGCAAGAAGCCTCCCAGATCTCCAGATGCATTTGAGATATCAAAAAAGTAAGTGTTGTTCAGCATGGGGGTGAGTAGAAAATGAAGGCTAATCATGTTTTGGGTGTACTATTCCTTTAAATGAGTTATACCTTTGGCGTGCATGGGTCCAGGTACTTTATCTACTTCCTACAGAGAAACTGAATCATGGTTGAAATATGAGGCTCCACTCATAAATCATGGCTGCATGTGTGGAGTCTTCTGCTGAACAGTAAAACAGATCTCACTGGATTTATAACAATCGGAGCAATGGAAAGACTGATAGGTTCATTTTTCTAATTAAAAGGATGAGCTTTAATATCAAAGTTGTGGTTCTGTCAAGGTGTTGTGCGAAAAAGTTTTCAATTGTTTAGTCCAGTTAAATAAAGGAGATCGATGGATTTACTCAGTCGGCACTTTATTTACTTTGCAAAGTAAAGGAGAACAAGACATTCACATTCACAGCATGATGGTCTGCCAAGTTCTAACCCTAGACAGAGTTGTTCCCTTGCTTTTAAGGCAGAGTCAAAACCATAGCAGACCTTGGTTAAACAGTTACCTTGAAAAAGTATGTGGTTTTGTTACGGGAAAAAGGTATGTTTTGTCTATAACCATCTTCCACTCAGACATTTTGTGGCCTTGCAAGTGAGACAAACTAGCTGAGAAAAAAAACATTTTTAGAGAATACATAGCATACTTCAAATACTGAGAAGGAAAGAAGAAAAATTAAATTTTCCGACCACACAAGGGCTGCACCTATAAATTTGTTGCATTACTAAAACTTTTGGTAAATGAACATTTAGAGGGGGAAAAAAATCATTTTAAACGGATTACTATTCACAAAATACGTCAGATATGTTCTGAAATTAAACAAGTGGAAATGTTTACATTTTAATAGTTTATATTTGTAGTTTTGACTCCATTACTGCTGTAAGTAGGTTATTTCTCCAAATGCCATGTTTCAGTCTGCGTGTAATTGGTCTCAGATATCAATCAAATCACCAATTTAGTTGACGATTATTTCAATAATCCAGATTAGTTTCTTCAACCCCAATTTTCAAAAACTGCTACATAAATACAGCCTTTGTATACAGCTTTACTAACAAAAAAAGGAGGCTTTAGCACAAACTCAGAGGAATCACAACCAACTTTAATGATCAATTTTTGTACAAAAAACTTAACAGCAGTTTTCAACACAACATCAATCAAGCATCTCTATCTATAGAGACCTCAGAATATCTCAAACTATAGGAGGGATACTAGGATTTAAAACTCACTGGTTCTCAATCATTGTGAGAGTTCCTCATAAAAAAAAAAAAAAAGAGTAAATGAATTCCTTTACAGGTAAAATCAAACATTACAGGAAGTGACATCAGCTGGACTTCCTAGCTGAGCTTTTATCTCAGTTCTTGTCACGTTTCTTCTCATCTGATCTAAAACAGTCCGGAAAAAGTATTTTTAAGAAACCCTAAAAGAAAAACGGATTTAATTCGAACAGTCGGGGAGCTCCGCCTACCCCCAATTAGACCTCAGATCTTTTATGACTGCTTGAGTTTAACAAACTCAGCAGAGCCTCCGGTGTGAAGATAAATGCCAGCATGCAGAGGCTCAATGAAGGTGGCCTTGGCTCTGTGGATGAGAGTCACGGTGTCAGAGATGCTGTAGAAACACAGGATACCTGCTTTATAATCCAGGTACACTCCGATTCTGGAGGAAACCGGACCAAACACTCGAGTTTTAACGTCGTTGTGAGAAAACGTGCAGAAGCTTGTGTTACAGTGCAATGACCAAAAGGAGGCCTCCTTTGGTTTAAAGAGGAATCCAAAGCTGCTAGTGTTGTATGAAACTCCAACACTGATCCCCCCTCCTCCTTTCCACTTCACCTCCCAGTAACACCGTCCGGTCAGACTCTCTTTGCTCAGGAGCAGTTTAATCTCAGCTGCGTTTGCGACGTTAGACTGCGGCGGCACCGTCACTTTCCTGTTGCCCTGAGAAAACATGACGTTTTTCTGTGCCATGTTTGGGACAAGAGTGATTTCCTGGGAATATTTCAGTAACTCGGCTCTGGTCGGAGGTTCCGATCCTGGTTCTGTCACATCTCTTTCAGTGATTGACAGCAAGACGTTTGTCCATTGGTCTCTCGTGATGCCATCTACTTTCTTTTTGAACTCCGACACAGCTGCTGTCACATTGTCAAAGTATCTTTGGGGAGGAATATTGATGCTGGATGAGTGTGTAGCCTCACTGAGGGCTGGCAGGGAGGGGTAGTTCTGGAGAAACTGGTTAAGATCCTCAGTCTGCAAGATCTTCTCCAGCTCAGCATCTTTAAGCTTCAGCTCAGTGATCTCCTGCTCAAGCTTCTCCTGAATCTTTCTGATTCGACTCACTTCAGTTTCCTCCTTGCATCTGATGTCCCTGTCCAATTCATGCCTTCTTTGGCTGACGATATTCAACAGCACGCGGTAGATCGTTTCATTGTACTTCACCGCTTTATCAGCAGAGCACCTGACGGCCTCCATCTCCTGCTGGAGCCGGTCTGCATCTTTCTCCTGGTCCTGGATTCTCCGCTGGATTTGTTGTCGTCTCTCCTGGAGCTCCTTCTGCTTCTCAGTCCTTTCTGCTGCAGCTGGGACTG